CTGTTTCCGATTCTGTGTCTCCCTCTCTCTCTGCCCCTCCCCCGTTCATGCTCTGTCTCTCTCTGTCCCAAAAATAAATAAACGTTGAAAAAAAAAAATTTTTAAATATAACACTTTCTTATCTGTCTGATTACAGCCTTTGAAAGCAAACTGATTTTAGATTTCTACTCTCACTGTAATGTTGTGATTTAATGGATATTTATGCTACTCATCATCTTCCCCTGTAAACATAGTTCTGGATTTTCTCTTTCTGCTCCAAATACTTCTATTCTCCTAATAACCAGCACTCCAAAAGTTTGCAGTTACTATGTACTCTTCCTCTCCAACAATATCAATTTTACATATTCATAACCTCTTACCCATGCTTCTGCGACAGTTTCATATGTAGACTCCATTTCCAAAGTTCCTCTTAACAGTACTATATTGCAAGACAAGCCTTCCTAAAGCATTGTTCATATAACATCCAAAATCTTTAGGGGTGCCTGGGTGGCTCAGTCAGTTAAGCATCTGACTTCGGCTCAGGTCATGATCTCACAGTTTGTGAGTTGGAGCTCCACATTGGGCTCGCTGCTGTCAACATGGAGCCTGCTTTGGATCCCCTGTCCCCCTCTCTCTCTGCCCCTCTCCTGCTCACTCTCTTTTTTTTTTCTCTCTCTCTCTGTCAAAAAAATAAAATAAACATTAAAAAAATCTTTAATGGGGCTCCTGGGTGACTCAGTCAGGTAAGCGTCCGACTTCGGCTCAGGGCATGATCTCGCAGTCCATGGGTTCGAGCCCCGCGTCGTGCTCTGTGCTGACAGCTCAGAGCCTGGAGCCTGTTTCAGATTCTGTGTCTCCCTCTCTCTCTGACCCTCCCCCATTCGTGCTCTGTCTCTCTCTGTCTCAAAAATAAACGTTAAAAAAAAATTTTTTTTAATCTTTAATGATTCATTATTGCTGTGACTAGTTATTGATTATGTTATGTTAAGATTGTAGGAGGAAAAGTGTAATAGGATGTTGAGTGGGACTTGTGCTATTAACCTGAAATTACTAACTAGGGCACAAGATTTAAAAATATATATTTCTAAGCTAAATATTTCCGTATTCTAAAGAGAGCTGCTAATATGTTACCAAAAGTTAGGGTGAACCTAGACTCTCTATTATATTAACCCAACTAAAAGGCAAAAAAAATCACACAATTTGCAGAGACAGAGCAGAATCAAACATGGCAGAGATGTTGGAATTATCAGACTGGGAATTTCAAAACTGCTATGATTACTATGTTAAGGACTGTAAGGGATCAAGTAGATAACATGTAAGAACAAATTGGCAATGTAAGCAGAGAGATGAAATCCTAAGAAAGAAGCAAAAAGGAATGCTAGAGATCAAAAACTCCATAACAGAAAGGAAAAATGCTTTGGGAGGCCTATACACTACAACAAAGTAGAATTTATCTTAAGTATACAAGACTGAGTCAACATTCAAAGCTTCATTAATTTAATCCAGAACACCAACAGATTGAAAAGATGATCATATTAGTAGATGCAGAAAAAGTATTTGACAAAATCCAGTACCCATTCATGATTGAAAATAAAACATCTCAGTAAACTAGGAGTAGAGGGAATGTACTCAACTTGATTTAAAAAGAAAAACTATAAAAGCCTACAACTAACACCATATTTCATGGTGAGAAATTAGAGACTTCCCACTAAGATCAGGAATAAGGCAAGGATATTCCTCTCTCACCACTCCTTTTCAGCATTGTACTAGAAGTTCTAGTACAATAAGACAGTAAGACAAGACAATAAGACAAGAAAAAGAAATAAAAGGTATGCAGATTCAGAAGTAAGAAATAAAACTGTCCTTGTTCATAGATGACATGACTGTCTAGGTAGAAAATTCAGAAGATTTGGGAGGAAAATTACTTGTAATTAATAAGCAATTATAGCGAGGTTGCATGCATTATACAAAGTTAATACATAAAAGTCAACTGTTTTCCTATATAACAGCAATGAACAAGTGAAATTTGAGAGTAAAAACACAATAACCTCCAAAATTCAATATTTAACTATATGTATAACAAAATATGTTCTAGATCTATATAAGGAAAACTACAAAACTCTGATGAAGTAAATCAAAAAGAACTAAATAAATGAAGAAATAGTCCATGTTTATGGATAGGAAGACCCAATATTGTCAAGATGTCAGTTCTTCCCAACTTGATCTATAAATTCAGTGTGATCCCAATCAAAATTCTAGCATGTTTTTTTGTCTATATTGACAGACAAACTGATTCTAAACAATACAAAGCTATAATTACTGTTATCCAAGTCTAGTGTCTCATTCATCCTTGTCACTGGTCCCCAGTAGTCCCTGAACTCAAGCCCCGGCTCTATTTCACACTGGTTTTGAATTACAAGTCTTGATGCCAAGTCTACTCCTGGCCTATATTTTAGCTTTGAGCCTTTTATGTCTGGCTTAGGTACAGAGTCTGGCTCTGTTTCAAACCCTCATCACACACTATATCAGGATGGACTCTTTCCTGATCTAATCTAGAGATTACCAAGGTGAGTATAGAAAACTCAAGCACTGCTCCCTCTTAATCATCCCAAGTCAGAAGATAGCTTTGGTTATATACAAAAGATGTCAATTATGGTAGGTCTGAAACAATATGGCAAATTAAAGATGCAAAACCATATTTTAATATGTTTCTCTTTTTTTCTTATTTACATTTTACATGAAAAGACATTAAGTAAATATAACAATGCTCTCAATAATGTTGCTGTAAGATAAAACCTTCCTCCCTTTATAGCTTATATATCTAGCTTAGAATATTACTTATCTTCTCTTTTGGCAGTGGTTTTATTTCCATTACCCATCCTGTAATACCAACTATAGTAATTTTCAAATATGGATCAATCCAACCATACACCTGCTTTACTTACAAGGCTGCAATTACTGAAGACTAATGGTAAAAAAAAAAAAAAAAAACATACATTGCAGACCTATGTTAATTTATGAATCCCAGTTTCAATTATACCTTTCATTTATCCTGACTTTTCAAACTTTGCAATCTTCTAGCCCCCAACTTTAAACCTGTTCTTTTCTTTCAACTTACTTTACTTTCTATTTCACAGAAAAAGTGAAAGCTGTCAGACATAAATTATCTCATTTCTTACCACCTAGTACCTCTTCTTCCCACTATACCTCTTCCAAATATATACATACCTGGACATATCCTTACTACCTTCCTCTTTAGCTTAAAAAAAGAGAGAGAGAAAATCCTTCTTCCTATCCAAAGTTAATTCCTCCACTTGGGTTTAACTCTTGTCTCTCTTCTGGGGTATTGCATCTTCAATTGTCCCTTCTTTTCTGTCTTTCATTTATTTCTACTGTCCATTCCTCTCAGCATTTAAACAACTCACATCTTTCCCATATTTTAAATAAACAAGAAAATAAAGTTTCCTTAACTTTAGGTTGATTCCCTCCAAATGCCCTCACTCTTTCCTTTTACAATCAAACCTCAAGGGAATGGTCTGGTGTACTCACTCTATCCATTGCCTTACCTTTGCCTAGTCTTCAACTTACAACAATTGAGCATTTCCCAAAGTTTTCAGATTCAAAGTTCTTTTACTTGATCTTCTTACTGCTTTTATTGCTACTTATTATGATCCCTTTAACCTCTCTTTTCTCAGTACCACTCTCTCCTGCATCTCTGGACACTTCTCAGTCTCCTTTACAGAATACTCTCCTTTGGCCACCTCTAAATATTTCTCAGCCTACCAGAAATGTTTTCTGGATATCTCAAGCAATCAAATTTAGCAGGTAAAAATCTATAGTCTTCATTTCACTCCTAAAAGTCTTCCTCTTCTAATCTTTCCCAAACTGATGAACATTTTTTTCTTTTTTTTTTTTTTTAATTTTGCTTTGTTTTTTGAGAGAGAGGGATGGGGCGCAAGTGAGTGAGAGGCAGAGAGAGAGACAGAGAGAGAGAGAAGCAGGGCTCACCTGAAGCGGGTCTCCGGTTTTACCAGAGCTTGAACTCACTGGATATGGGACTCAACTCATGAACCTTGAGGTCGTGTTCTGAACCAAAGTCAGATGTTTAACAACTGAGCCCACCCAGGCACCAAAACATTTTTCAATTACCCAAACCAGAAACCTAGAAAGCAAAAGTTCCCCTTTCCTTTTTGCCTCTGCTATCCAGTCAGTCATAAGTCTCCTGGTAATCTTACCATCTAAATAATTATCTTCATTTTCTTTTATGTCCTGCTGCCACTGACCTAATTGAGGCTCCTGTTATTTCCTACTTGATCTATTTTTACTGATACCCATTCATCTAGGGTCAAAACCTGCCCATTCGTCATCTACACTGCCAGATCATTTTTTCAACATGTAACTAATCATTTCCCTTCACTGTTCAAAGTTCTTTGACTGTAACCTATAAGATAAAACTTAAAGCCATTCATATGCAATATGTCCATCTCCTATTAGGATATGGCTTCAACCTATGTAGCACATCCTCCTCAGAGTTTACATTCCAACAATACTGTATTTGAATTGTAACTTGCCCAAATGTGCTATAGTCACTCAAGCCCAAAGTCTTCTGTGCAGTTTTATGTATGTGAAATGCGTTCCTGCCACATGGGGTAACCCTTATCATGTAAGTCTTAGTGCAAATGGTTTCTCTTCTGTAAATCCTTTCCTGACTTCAGGCTGAATAAGACTTTTTTTCCACAAGTCCCCATGGTATTTCAGACACACTGCCATTCCAGAGCAATTATCATAGCATATCATAACCACTTACACATCTGTTTTACCGTTTGGCCGTAAGTTCTTTGAAGAGCAATAATTTTGTTTGTTTCAATATTTCCAGCGCCATGCATGCAACCTCGTGTGTAGTAGATGCTGTATGTATGTGTTGAATGCATATATGAAAGGAAACTCAAAATGTTAAATGTATTCCCATGTTAGTTAAAATGTTTTGTGTATTAGGATGCCCTCTGGTTATTTTTACATAGGTGAAAATGAACAACTAAAAAGAAATGCTGATCTTATGAGAGAAAAGCTGAAGTCTCATGAACAAGTGAGTTTATGTATTTTTGTATTCAATCAAATTCCTGTAGAGCATTTGTCTTCTCAAATTAGAAAAAAAGGAGGGTGGTTTTCATTAATAAGGACAGCCAAAATTTGGAAAGGAAATATATATATGTGTATGTGTGTGCCAGAATTTTTAATGAATAAAATTTCTTAAAGAAATAACAGTTTTAAGGACTCTAGTCTCTTTGCAGACTATAACGCACTAAGGTATCACTTATATTACTTTGTCTTCCCACCAAAAAGAGATACAACTATTTTGCTACATATTTTTAAATTATGTTAATAAAACTTTTACTATAGAGTATACTCTGTTATATTAATTAGCACTTTTAAACTTTTTACCATAAAATAAATGAGTCTTGATCTTTCTGATTTAAGTAACCTTTTGCAATTTTATTACATCATCCAAACGAAGGGAAGTCTTTATGTGGATAACCAATTATTTCTCTCCCCAGGGCTACCATACCCTCTGCTACTTTTTTCTTTTCTCCTATAGGAACAGCATACAGCAGCAATTATAGAACAAATAACACAGTGCTTAGAACATAAAAAGTGCTCAGTAAATGTCAGCTCCCACCACCCTTTGGGAGGCTTATTATCATAATTTTTTTCTCCTTTCCCAAGAGCCAACATGTCAAACCTTGGCAGACCTACGATTTCCAAAACTCAAACTGGATCTGTATCAAGCTTAGAACTTCAAGTTGAAGGATCATTTCCATATTCAATCTGGTTCCTCACTTGAGTTAATTTAAATATGTGTGGAATATATCCCACCCTTTATTTTTCCTTTCCTTTATCCCTTTCCTTTCTTCTTTCCCATTCTTTCCATACCTTTCCTATAAAGCTCAATGATAGATGGTACAGTTAGGGTATCATTGGGGCAGAGAAAAGGGGGAGAAATTTTTACCTTCTTTCTCTTCTAAAATGTCAAGCCATAGAATATTGCTTAGCCTAAGATACTATAGGAATTGGAGACATCATGATGAGTAAAAATAAAGTCCCTGCTTTTATGATGTTTAGAAGCTTTTCTTGAACCTCTTGCCTTCATTAATGTACCTTTCTTAGTATCCTATTTTATTTTTATTCTTGCTGCTTTCCTTTTCTCCTGCCTACATCTTAGGACTGTAAGTGGTTTATGTAGGAACATCCCTCTGGAAAAATTGTAAATTTTATCTTTGGGGGCTTTCTCTTCCAACACCTCTCTGAATGCGACTGTCCACATTAACACAATGATCATTTCTATGCTGCAGCAACCTAAGAAACTAATCTCAGGCACTTGTCAAGCACTTCTCAACTCCCAAATTCATTCTCCTCTAGCCTCCTCCTCATAAAACTAACCTTTACCATGGGTAGTGCTTAACTTCCTTCTGGGAATTAGGGCTGTTTATATAATTTTCAGAAACAGAACATCAGGTCACATTCAAAGGAGTCATCCTATGTTAGGTTAAGCTTGTCAGCTATCGAACAGAATGTACTATTAGCTCTAAAGTATAACTTTGGCTTTAATTGACATATTTTAATGGTATCATGGCATTTATTTATACAGTTACCAAAATACTTTGAGATTATATGATATGTTAAACACTGGTGATGAGTATTCAGGAAGCAAAGATAAGAATACATTGTCTCTGGATGGGCTGTATCTCCTTGGATCAGAAATTGTTCCTTCTCAAAGCTGATTATTCAAGCGATAAACAGTATCTTTCCTCTCTAGATATGGTTACATATTAACAATTAATATAAAGTATGAGAATTTCACCTTTCTAATTAGTGGAAAGTTGTGTACATATATTTAAACTGAAGAATTAATATGTATTTTAATCTTTAGGAATATAAGAATAATATTGCCAAACTTATGAGTGAAATGAAAATCAAAGAGGAGGGACATAAAATAGAAATAAGGAAACTTTATCAGGATATGCAGGAAAAAAGTAAGTTTTTATTTTTGACCTACTGAATTCTAAGACATCATAAAATAATTTAAATGCATGTATAAACTTTTTTCAGTAATTGCCCGTATTCTTGAATGAACATTGCCTTGATGCATTTTAATTTGGGTTTTGTACCTTTCAATTTATTTATGTGATATAAATTACAACATTTCTAAGCTGGATTTATGGTTTTTGTACTTAACATTATTTAATATGAAGCAGCTAATGTCCTTATATAAAAATTAATGTGAAATGTATAATACCTTTAATATTTATATACTTGGCATATAGGATATAATTTCAATAATAAAATTTCTTCCTTTATTAAAGCAGGTCTCATGATCTTATGCTGAGAGTTATATGGTTTCATAAAAGTAACAAAAACTTTTCCAAATGAGCCCATACTTATGTACAACATAGGTAAAAATTTGCTGGAAATGTATGTCAGAATATAAACCTACATCTACAAAACTGCTAGAAGAAAGCATAGAAGATAATCTTTGTGAACTTGAGTTAGCTACAACTCCTTGGAAAGAATTAAAAAGCACAAACAATGAAGGAAAACATTCTAACTTGAACTTTATCAAAGTTACTAACTTTTGTCCTTCAGCACTGTTAAGTACAAGGCCCTGATCCTGAAGATTGAATATGGCTAAAGTTCACTGGAGAGGATGGAAAAAAAGAGTCTCTCAGTAGAAAGAAAATAGAAGCCAAGACGTAGAGAGGGGAAGACATAGGACATTCTAGGGAATAATAGTCTATTTCTTACCTCTTCTTTGCACCACACAGAAAGGTTAGCAAGAAAAAAGCCAGCAGCCATGGCTAGGGCTGGATTCTTTGACCCCTTGAATTTTAGGATAAAAAAAAAGGGGGGGAGGGATTAAAGGTTTCTGAGAAAGTGATGGCCATACTTAGAGGTATGCTTTAGGAAGACTAACCTGGCAACAGTGTATAGGGTGTAGAGACTTGTGATTAAGAGCCTGGACATAGAGTCCAACTGAGGCAAAAATGAGGCTTGAAACTAAGTAAGTAGGGGATTAATCATGGATGGAGACCCCTTATTTGTGGGGCTTGTGGATGAGTTGACTCCTTCTTTTCCCCCTGAAGTCAGAAATGTCCTTGAGACTCCCATACTGGATAATATGGTATCACTAGTAGGAATAGGAAAGATAAGACCAGAGGAAATTTGATGAAGCATAGAGACATGGTGTGAACATGACAGAGGCCCAATCACGTGGAACAGAGTATAGCGGGGGTTTGATGTAGCTCTAGAATCATCCAGTAATTTGGGACCCCTGTACCTAGGAACCCAGGCCTTGTGTCCCTGTTTAACCACTAAGTCTCCTATTTATTGTCTCTCATATATATATA